TCACCAGCTATCCTTTAGGCCTGACATGTTTCTCGTCTTCCTCTCTGCCTCATTAATTTCATTCAAAGTGGGATTCAAATAGTCCCTCCTGCAGGTCTTTTCTGATCTCTCCAGTTGCTAGTGTTCTCCCTATTAAAAAAATAAAATTTGTTTTGTATTAACTTTGTATATATTTGTTATTTATTTATGTACCTGAGCCACCCAGTAGAGTCTAAGCTCCTTGAGAGCAGAGGCTGTTTTCATTATTTTCTTTGTGGTTTTGGTGCCCAGCGAAGTACACGGCACATAGTAGGTGCTTAATAAATGCCTGATGAATGGAACAATCAGGATTCTATGTCCAAGAGTTCAGTAGTATCCAAGACAATAAAAAAGATACTATCTTTGGCTGTAGGATCAGAGAAAGGACAAAGAGGATGGGAACCACCCTGTGTAATCCATCTGACTTATCTGGATTTCTCCATAGCAAGAGTTTGCTAAGAACAGGAAAGCTAGACACAGCTGACTTCACTGTTCTTACTTTGGTCTGATAATTTCTCATCCCCTTTTCTCTACCCCAACACCTCCCTCCCATTTTCCTTTCTCTAGAAATATATTTTGACACTTGGCTTCTTATCAATGTTCTGTGGCCAGAAAAATATACTATATTTTATGTTGTATGAGAAGAGATAAGAAGATTGGAAGGAAGTTCTTTTCAGTTCAACAAGTATTAATGCCCCAGCCCTGTGTCTGAGATTCTTTTATTCCTTCAGAACCTGGATTGGGTTAGAAGGATTATTTAAAGCCAGAAAGGATTTTATGGGCCATCTATTCCTTTTACTTTACCAAAAAACTCCTGAGGCTCAGAGACATTAAGTGACTTGTCCAAAGTCACAGCAGAGATGGAAATTAAATTTGGATCCTCTAACTCCAAATTTAGAGAACTTCCCACTGCATCATTCTGTGGTTCTAGATCTTAGGTTAGCCTTGTATTTAGTGTCTCTTCAGTAAATTGAAGGTCTTGTGCCAAACCCAGTGGGCAGCTAGGTGGTGCAGTGGACAAAAGTACTGGACCTGGAGTCAGACTCATCTTCCTGAGTTCAAATCTGGCCTCAGACACTTACAAAGCTGTGTAACCCTGGACAAGTCACTTACCTCTGTTTGCCTCAGTTCCTCATCTGTAAAATGAGCTGTAGAAGGAAATGGCAAACCACTCTAGCATCTTTGCCAAGAAAACCCCAAATGGGGTCACAGAGAGTTGAATATGACTGAAATGACTGAAAACAACAGCAAAAATCCTGAACCTGTGGCAATGTATTTAGAGATACAGATAATTAATTAAGAACCCTTTCTACCTAGCCTCTTGCCTTCTTATGGCAAAGCTTTTTGCAGGGCCAGCTTTGCATTAATAAATAAGAAAGGGGCAGCTAGATGGCACAGTGGATAGAGCACTGTCCTAGGAGTCAAGAGGACCTGAGTTCAAATTTGGCCTCAGACACTAGCTGCGTGACCCTGGGCAAGTCACTTAACACTAATTGCCTTCCCCTTTCCCCCCAAAATAGAAAAAAAAATAAGAAAAATGTGAGAGAATTTCTTATGGGGGAAGATTGGATTAAATTGAGCATAAGATGGATCTTAATCTACAAAGCAATTTCCCCCTGCTTTGCCTTATTTTCTTCCTTCAGTCTTTTTGTCTTATATTTATATTATTCGTATCACCCATCAGAGATCTCTCAATATTTCTCCTACTGATCATGTATAGATATCTTGCTGCCCACTTAACTGTGTGAAGTTAGTGGAATTCACCTTACCAGGCAAATGTTCTTTCTGAGTATAAATTGCTTTCCCCAGGATGCCACCTGGAAACAGCAGCTTTGCAGAAGAATATGGCTTAAAGAGCTGGTAAGAAGTGGATTCCACCTATCATTCTTTGAACCATCTTCATTTGTTTATTTCCAAGGGAACAATCCTCTTAATTTTTTTTGGTTATTATTGTTTTAAAAAAATTTGAAGACAAGATGATGTTTGGTTCGTGCCTTCATTTCCTGCCTCCTGTCACAGGAGGGATATTTTAAGCAGGATGAATTGTTATCGAGTTGCTGCTCTTCTGAACCCAGAGCAATCAATCTTGTCTTGAACCCCAGGCCTACCAGTCTGCCTGCTAAGTCTGTTCTTTCTGGGGCAGACTTATTTACGGAGTCAAGGCAAGGGTAATTTCACTCCCCCGTCCTTCACTGCCTGTTCTTTTCTCTGCCACTCTTAAAAATAGCCCAGGGCTCTGACGAAGACCCAGGGTCTTGTTACCTCCATCGTGCATGGTTCGATCACATCTCTCTGGAGTCTAGCAGCCCTGTTCTTTCCAGGAGGCTTTGGCCACGTTTGGTGTTCGAATGGAGTTTGGATGGCCCTTCTCCCTTATGAGTGAGTAGCAGTAACAAATAGAGCAAAGAAGGAAAAAAGAAATCATTCTTTATCTTGTCCAGGCTGGTTGGCTAGTTCAATCAAGAACTGTTCTACTAGAGGCAGCTTACCCAGGCCAGTCTGTCCCTTTTAAAGAAGCAAAGGGGTCTCATGATTGAAGTAAATCGCTTCCCCCTCCCCCAGGCTGCTATAAGGTCTGACATGACCTGGCATAACACAGCGTAGCATTGCACAGTACAGTACAGAATAGGATTGTATAGTACATAGCACGGTACAATTAGCTTTCACTCTGTATATGCTTCATCTTCAGACTGCAAAAAATGTTGAAAGACCAGTGAGTGGCAAACACGGTGGTGAAACCCTTGCTGTTTTTAAGAGTCTATGTTTGCTTCCTTTGGTTATTTTGCTGCTGCCTGTATGAAGCATAACGATAGCATGTAGTTTTTAATGAGGTAGGTAAATAATAAGACGAGCTGTAAAAAAAGGCACCATATAAGATAAGGGACAGGGAAAAACAGTAAGAACTGAACCCCAGCGTGTGCCACCCCCCTCTCCTCCCCCACCCCTACCCCGGGGACTGGATGGTGGGTCTGGCACAAAGGTGGTTAAACAAACTGATTCTAGATCAGAGGTTCTTAACCTGGGCTTTGTGAACTTTTTTTTTTTAATATTTTGATGACTATATTTCAACATAATTGGTTTCCTTTGTTTATCTATGTATTTTATTTTATGCATTTAAAAATATAATGCTGAGAAGGGATATATAGACTTCACCACATTGTCAAAGGGGTTCATGACACAAAAAAGGTTAAGACATATAAACTTGATGGTCAAAGGCAGGAATGGGGTACTTGTGGCCTCAAGGCCACATGTGGTCTTCTAGATCCTTGGGCGGGGGGGTGCCTTTTGACCGAGTCCAAGTTTTACAGAACAAATCCTTTTATTAAGGAGATTTGTTCTGTGAAGTTTGGATTCAGTCAAAGGACTGCACTTGAGGACCTAGAGGGGCACATGTGACCTCGAGGCTACAGGTTCCCCATCCCTGGTAAGGCTTATCTTGTTCTATCACTTTTCCCTCTATAACTATCTAATAAGAGTTGGATTAAAAAACAACAGTCACCTAGAATAAGGGTTTGATCTATGCTAAGGCTAGCAGAGCTGTGGGAATTCCCAAGAGGCCAGGCCAGGACTGATGGTAGTGACTGCAAAGGGGACTGTGACCTCAGCAGATATGGGTTTGTGCCCCTGTTAGGGAGTATTGAAAAAGGAGGGTAGTCTGAGGTATATTTATGTGAGACAAAACTTTTCAGTGCTCTTATGCTCCTAAGAAATTGGGTATTACTACTTCAAGTTACAGTTATATTAAGTTAGCCTTGTGCATTTTCTTCTTTAAAAACAACAACAAAAAAACCAAACCTGAATTTTAATAATATTCTTTGGTAGTCTCAGATTTTATTCTTTGTATCTATTATTAATGTGATTGAGGCCTTTTCCAGTATGTTCTAAATAAAAAGGTATTTTATCTGAAGTATTTTATAGATATTATCTCATGAGTCTGTGAAAAAACTTTGGGAGGCTGGTTGTAGGTCATTGGGAATCAAGGATTATTGGTTCCATTTTACAGAGAGGAGAATTGAAGGTCCAGAGAGTACAATAACATCCCAAAGATCATACAACTGAATAAACAAATGACAACAAGCACCTGGGATTTGGGGCTTCTAAAGCTGCCCCTTATATAAAGGACTTGCAACCACCAATTGTCCCATGTAAACATTGCTCCTTCACAAAGCATCGTAATGTTGGCAGTCAGGTGTTACTGGACTTGGGCATACAGGTCAAGCCAGGCTCTGTGGCTCAGCGGATTTCAACAGGAACTCCATTTTTTTTGCCCATGGAGTAAAAGGCTCCACTTAGCTAAAGAGCACCTCACCAAAGACACAGCCTGATGAATATCTGTAGCAAGAGAATTCCTTTAGTAAGCTATCTGGGTGGACTTTCTCCAGGACTGAGTTGCTACAAGCCCTGAAGCTTTGGAGACAACCCTAAGCTGGCTTTTTCCATTTCCATTTTCCCTATTTATTCATTTTTCTTTTCAAGCTACACTCAGCCTATTCCCCAGCTTGCTTCCTCCCTCCCCTGTCCCTTCCCTCCTCCTTTCCCCCCCCCTGCCCCCCATTGTGTCCTGGCCTCAATTTGGTGGGCAGATGCTTCTCTCCTCAGCGCGGTTGCCTCTGCAGCCTCTGGAGCCCGACCCCAGCTAGCAGTCTGTCTGGAACGCAGGAAGGGGGTGGGGAGCTCTGGTTCACTGCAACTGACGTCTCCACCTGCTGGCTGCCCTGACTCTTACTGCATGCAGCTCTCCTTGTCCCTTCTGCTGCCGCTGCCACTGTTGCCGCCGTCATTGTTACTGTTGCTGCTGTTGCTGCAATATTTCATAACATATGATCCAGGAACCTCAGGTGGAAAGCATGCTCAGGCAGATGGCACAGTGTGCTGCTCTTAGAAGGATCTGTTTCTGTCAGAGGCTCCGAATAAGTTTCCCCTGAGAAAAAGTCTGAAGGGGTGGGGAGCTAACCCTTCAATACATGTTGCTCTCCCTCCAGGGGCCCTTTCATGAGGACTGAGGCAGGAGCTGCTGCTGAGAGCCTCCCAACATGACATCCGCCACTGAGTTTGACAACGTGGGCATCCAGCAGTACAGCAGGATCAACGCCCGCTGGGACTCCCCGAACAATGAGTTGGACAATGACAATAGCTCCGCCAGGCTCTTTGAGAGGTCTCGGATCAAGGCCCTAGCAGGTACTCTTCTGAAGGGTGAAGGGATGGAGTATGGGTGGGGAGAACCTTCCTCAGTACCCTCCTTTCCCCAAGACCACCTGTATTCCCAAGCCTCTGGCTGTGAATGGCAGGGGGAGTGTTGGGGATGCTTCTTGGGTGAAACCTACTGATGCCTGATGGGAGTTTGCTCATAGGGAATTCAGTCTTCCATCTGTGCTCTGAGCTTGTTCACTAGTACTGGCAACAGTCACTGTTCACACCTGTCCTCTGGTTCATTCATATTTCACCCTATGAAAAAGGAGGTGGTAGCTCTGTGTGTGTGTGTGTGTGTGTGTGTGTGTGTGTGTGTGTACTATACTCATAGCAACTGGAAGTGGCCATCCTGAGTGACCTGTAGCCAAATTCACGTGTCAGAGCCCAGTCAACTGAATGAAATAATCAGTGTGTTAAGGGCGAGTAATTATATTATCAACTAGGAGCTGATCTCCTTTTCCCTTTACCTTCCTCTTATCTGGAGGATTGTGCAGGAGCTGTAACTCCCCAAAAGAGCTCTGGGATGATCATACCTAGGGTCCCACAAGAAAAGAGTACCCAAGTATGAAATTGAGAACAGGCAGTCTTCTCAGGCCTCCAAAGGGGAGGAGGGGAAGGTTTTCTGAGGTAAACTACTGAATTTCACCTACTCTTCACCTAGTAAGTTTGTGATGAGGTTTGTGGGGTTTTTTGTATTTTTTTTGTTGCTATAAGCTCATTTTTAAAAATCCTAAATCTTTAGTGTAAATAGTTTCTCTTCTTCCTTACTTGCTGAAATATCATTTCCTCTTACTTACTGGGATATCATTTTGTTATTAGATCTTTCCTGTGATGGGCCTTCATTACCAAGTCCGGACCCAGAATAACCTGGGTCCTCCCATCTGAACCACTATTTGGCTTTAGGAACCTTCTGCATAAAGGAGCCCATATTTTCTCTTTTATGTATCCCCATTCAATTGACTCTACTTTCCTTTGTGGAAAACTGCTGTGAATGAGGTACAATTATGCTAGTTCCTTAGTTGACATCCCTTATTCTTTCCAGGAGTTCTCAATGAAGCCCTCAGTGGGGTCCGTGAACTTTTTTGGGTAGTATTTTGATAACTGTATTTTGACAGCTTCCTTTGTAATCCTATGTATTTTATTTTATTCATTTAAGAGCATTCTGAGAAGAGGTCCATAGGCTTCGTCAGACTGTTAAAGGGGTACATGCCACAAAAATGTTTAAAAATTCCCACTTTCTCTGCTTTTTTGGAGGTTACTGTTCAAGGGAAGTATAAGCCTTAAAACACTATGTCAATATAAGTTTATTGAGTAAGTTTATTCCCCTTCCTACCTTCACTTTAGGGAGACTCCTTTGAAGCAAACTTCTTGATTCTTGGCAGACCTGGAGGTTTTGACACTTATTTTGTCCTATATCTTATCTATGCATTAGAAAATATCTAGGGATACCTCTCTCACACACAATATCCTCTTTACTTTTGCTCTCCAACATACATAACATAGGAATAGTCTCTGTCTCATTCTATAAGGGTCTTCATTCGACTAATTGAGAAATTATCGTGCTGTGTTTATTCTTCCCTCTCCCTTTCTTATCTACATTGTAGCATCATAGATTTAGAGATAGAAAGGAACTCTGAGGTCACTTAGTCCAGTCCCCTTCAATTTACAGTGAAGGAAATTGTGGCCCAGAATTGTTGTGACTTCCTCGAGTTTGCACAGGTAGCAAGTGTCAGATTAGAGGATTAAGGATTAAAACCCAGGTTCTCTGATTCCAAGTCCAATATTTTAAAAGTTGCATCATTGTTTCTCTCAGTGGCAGAGGTAATAATGCCAACTTATTTGCGTTTGTAATTCGTCCTCCAGCCAGTACCAAAACATCAGACTATTTTGACTTTACTAACCTGTCTGTTAACTTTGTGTGTTGGCTAGGCCACAGTATAGTATCACCTGTGTGATCGAAGAGTTATATCTTGTATTGTATACTTGTACCTTGTATGGTAGGGCTTACCCAGGAGCCACATGAAAATTAGATCTTCCTTGGTCTATTTCTCAGGTGATTCATTCATTCCTTAGGAGACCACCTTTACCATATCCTCCCTCTGGTTTTGAGTTTCTTTCGAACTGTTTAGCTTTCCTTTTGACTTCAGAGGTAACTTGGACATAGATTAGGTTGGTGCTAATTGCATTATTGCAAAGCCAGGGGCAGCAACATGTTAGAATCAAACATTAGGCTCTAGTAGAGTAGTGGAAGGAACTCTTACTAATGATGTCATGTTCTTCACTGAGGTGACTCATGCTATCCCACCAAACAGTTTGTAGGTCACTCTCAAATACTCAGATAAACCTGTGATCTCATCTATGTGGGTACTTCCTCTAGTGATACAGATGAGATGCAGTTCTTCTGAGACTGTCCACCCAGTGTAACCATAGACATAGCATACTTTATTAGGATATGTATCCAGAGAATTAAAAATAATTTTTTGAGGTGAACATTTGTTGACTATTCAGTCATAAAAGGACGTTATTTTCCTTATTAAACAAGAACTAAACTTGTCCTGGAATAATGGTTATTTTACGAAAGAAATGGGAGCAGATAGGTGGCACAGTGGATAGAACACTGATCCTGGAGTCAGAAGGACCTGAGTTCAAATTTGGCCCCAGACACTTACAAACTGTGTGACCCTGGGCAAGTCACGTAACCCAGATTACTTCCTCCCCCCCCCAAAAAAAAAGAGAGAGAGAAGAGAACGGAAAGAGAAAGGAAAAGAAAAGCCAGGGCCTCTCAGTACAGGCCATCCTCCCTATCCCAAACATCTATAGCTGCAAAGCATAGCAGCAGCAGCATCATGTATAGGTTTGAAGGGATGCCCTTGCCCAAAGTCATTTACCAATGTTATCTCTAGAGAGTGATAAGAGCTATCACAATTGAATAGAGTCATTGCTATCATTTAGGACTCCACATAAGAATTCTAAATACTCTGAAGGCTCTTAGGAATGGCAATCCTTGTATAGATCTCTGAGGAGGACTTGGAGAAAGCAATGGAGATAGAGCAGCAAATGCCTGGAATGACATATGACATCCTCCCAACTAGCCTCACTCTCCAACATACACAAATCCTTGAGGGTCAATGTCTAACCCTTAGCACAGTGCCTGACACAGAGTAGGTGCTTAATAAATATTTATTTATTGACTGAATTGATTAACCCTTAAATAATGGTTCAGTGCTCATTCAACAGACTATCTGTGTCTTCACTTTGGCTACAGGTTATTCAAGACAAACACTCCAAGATAAAATCATATTTTAAAAAATCTCAGACAGTCGGGGCAGCTAGGTGGCACAGCGAATAGAGCACTGGCCATGAAGTAGGAGGACCTGAGTTCAAATTCGACCTCAGGCACATAACACTCACTAGCTATGTGACTCTGGGCAAGTCACTTAACCCCAACTGCCTCACTAAAGAAAAAAAAATCTCAGATAGGATAGAAAACTTTCTTCTAATTATTAATAAGATTCTCTGTATTTTTTGATATAGCCACAAACCTCAGTAACTTGGTAGCTTCTCATTCTGTCCAATCATAAGAAATACTGTGACATGGTAGAAAGAATACAAGATCTGTAGTCAAGAAAGACGTGAGTTCAAATCTTACCTCTAATATTTACTACCACTGTGAGCAGAAGTAAGTCGCTCAAGTTCTTTTGAGCAAGAGCTGTAAAACTGGAATTATATCTGTAATACCTAATCTCCCAAAACTGTGAGGAATAAACTAGATATAGTCAAATATTTCGCAAGCTTTAGAGCACATTATAAATATTGGCTACTATTGTTATTATTTCCAAATGCTGTCATTAAACATGGCTGTTTCCATGTACAATGTTCTTCTGGTTCTGCTCACTTCACTCAGCGTCAGTTCATATAAGTCTTTCCAGGTTTTTCTAAAGTCCACCTGCTCATCATTTCTTATAGCACAATAGTATTCCATTACATTCATGTACCACAACTTGTTCAGCCCAACTGATGGACATCCCCTCAATATCTAATTCTTTGCCACCACAAGAAGAGCTGCTATAAATATTTTTGTACATGTGGGTCCTTTTCCCATTTTTATGATCTCTTTGGGATACAGACCTAGTAGTGGTATTGTTGGATCAAGATATGCACAGTTTTATAGCCCTTTGGGCATAGTTCCAAATTGTTCTCCAGAATAGTTGGATCAGTTCACAACTCCACCAACAATGCATTTGTGTCCCAATTTTCCCACATCTTCTCCAACATTTATCATTTTCCTGTTTTGTCATGTTAGCCAATCTGATAGGTGTGATGTGATACCTCAGAGTTGTTTTGATTTGCATTTCTCTAATCAATAGTGATTTAGAGGGGCAGCTACGTGGCGCAGTGGATAAACTCCATCCTTAGAGTCAGGAGGACCTGAGTTCAAATCCAACCTCAGACACATGACACTTACTAGCTGTGTGGCCCTGGGCAAGTCACTTAACCCTGATTGCCTCACCAAAAAAAAAAAATTAGTGATTTAGAGCATTTTTTCATATGACTATAGATAGCTTTAATTTCTTCATATGAAAACTGCCTGTTCATGTCACATTTTATCAATTGGGGAATGATTTATATTCTTATAAATTTGACTCAGTTCTCTATATATGTGAGAAATGAGGCCTTTATTAGAAACACTAGCTGTAAAAATTGTTTCCCAGCTTTCTGCTTTCCTTTTAATCTTGGTTACACTGATTTTGTTTGTGCAAAACCTTTTTAATTTAATGTAATCAAAATTATCCATTTTGCATTTCATAATGTTCTCTATCTCTTGTTTGGTCATAAATTCTTCCCTTTTCCATAAATCTGACAGGGAAATTATTCCTTGCTCTCCTAATTTGCTTATGGTATCACCCTGTATGTCTAAATGATGTACACATTTTGATCTTACCTTGGTCTATGGTTTGAGATTGGTATACAGTTGATCTATGCCTAGT